CGTGGAAATTAACAAGCTCATCCTAAAATTCACATGGAAATTCAAGGGCCCCAGAATAACCAAAACAATCTTGAAAAAGATGAAAGAAGTTGGAGAACTCACATTACTGATCAGAAAACCTAGTACAAAGCTACAGTAATCAAGATAGTGTGGCACTGGCATAAACAGACATATAGATCAAGAGAACAGAATTGAGACCCCAGAAAATATCCTCATTTTTATCCTCATTTTTATAGTCAACTGATTTTCAACAAGGATGCCAAGACCATTCAGTGGGGAAAGAACAGTCTTATCAATATATGGTTCTGGGAAAACTGTACAGCCACATGCAAAAAGAATGAAACTGGACCCTACCTCACAGCATACAAAAACTCAAATTGGATCAAAGACAATTAAATGTAAGACCTAGAATTATAAAACTCTTAAAAGAAGACACAGCCATAAATCTTCATGAGCTTGAAATAGGTGATGGCTTCTTAATTATGACATCGAAACCATAAGCAACAAAAGAAAAAGTAGATAAACTGAACATCATCAAAAATTAAGAAATTTTGTGCTTCAAATGAAACTATCAAGAAAGTGAGGGGCTAGCCCAGTGGGGCAGCGATTAAGTGTGCACGTTCCGCTTCGGCAGCCCGGGGTTCACCAGTTTGGATCCCAGGTGTGGACATGGCACGTGGCGGCGTCCCACGTACTACAACTAGAAGGACACACAACTAAAATACACAACTATATACTGGGGGTATTGGGGAGAAAAAGCAGAAAGAAAAAAAAAAAAGGGAAGAAGACTGGCAACAGTTGTTAGCTCAGCTGTCAATCTTTAAAGAAAGTGAAAGGGGGGCCAGCCCGGTGGGGCAGCAGCTAAGCTCTCACATTCCAATTTGGCAGCCCAGGGTTTGCTGGTTCAGATCCTGGGTGCAGACCTACACAGTGTTTGTCAAGCCATGCTGCGACAGGCATTCCACAGATAAAGTAGAGGAAGATGGGCACGGATGTTAGCTCAGGGCCAGTCTTCCTCAGCAAAAAGAGGAGGATTGGTGGTAGACGTTAGCTCAGGGCTAATCTTCCTCAAAAAAAAATAATAATAAAATAAAAATAAAATTTCTATTAAAAAAAGAAAGTAAAAGACAGCCCACAGAACTGGAGAAAATTTTGGCAAATTACATATCTCATAAGGGACTTATACTTACAATGTATTTTTAAAAAAGCCCTCTTACAACTCAACAAAAAGACAACTGAATAAAAATTAGCCAAAGCATCTAAGTACACACTTCTCCAAAAATTATTTACAAATGACATATAAGCCTGTGAAAAGATGCTCAATATCACTCGCCATAACAGAAATGCAAAATCAAAATCAGGAGATATCATTTTATATCCAAGAATAGCTATAATCAAAAAGATAAGCATAGGCAAGAATGTGGAGAAATTGAACCTTTATACACTGCTGGTGGGTATATAAAATAGTGAAGCCACCTTGGAAAACAGTCTAGCAGTTCCCCAAAAAGTAAAATTAGGGGCCGGCCTGGTGGCGCAGCAGTTAAGTGCACACGTTCCACTTAGGCAGCCCAGGGTTCGTTGGTTCAGATCCCGGGTGCAGACATGGCACCGCTTGGCAAGCCATGCTGTGGTAGGCATCCCACATATAAAGTAGAGGAACACGGGCATGGATGTTAGCTCAGGGCCGGTCTCCCTCAGCAAAAAGAGGAGGACTGGCAGCAGTTAGCTCAGGGCTAATCTTCCTCACAAAAAAAAAAAGTAAAATTAGTGTTACCATACGATTCAGCAATTTCACTCCTAGGTAAATAATCATGAGAAATTAAATTTATGGCCACACAAAAACTTGTACACAGATGTTCATAACAGCATTACTCACCAGAGTCCCAAAATGGAAAGAACCCAAATGTCCAACAACTGATGCAGAAATAAACAAAATGTGGTATATCCATAACACGGAGTATTATCCAGCAATAAAAAGGAATGAAGTACTGATAGCTGCAACAACATGGATGAAGCCTGAAAACACCATCCTAAGTGAAAGAAGTCAGTCCCTAAGGACCACATATTGTATGACTCCATTTATATGAAATAACCAGTTTAGTAAATCTATAGAGAAAGAAAGCAGATTAGTGACTGCTTACGGCTGAGGGGGATTGGGTACTGATGGCTAAGAGGTATGGAGTTTCTCTTTGGGGTGATGAAAATGTTCTAAAATTCACTGTTATGATGGTTACACAACTAAGTGAAAATACTAAAAGCCACTGAATTGTACACTTTAAGTGGGTGAATCATATGGTATATGAATTCTATCTCAATAAAGCTGTTAATCCATGGTGATCCAACTCAGAACATTGGTTACTTTTGGAGAGTAATGACTGGATTGCTGGAAATGTTCTCCATCTTGATTTGGGCGGTAGTTACACAGATGTACACACTGAGCTACACAATTAAGATTTATTCACTTTACTGTATGTAAATGAAAGCTTCATAAAAAAGCTTAATTAATAAATTTTAGTGAGTGAATATTTTAAATAATCCTCATAAAAACGGGAGAACTATCGGGCTGGCCCCGTGGCCGAGTGGTTAAGTTTGCGCGCTCCGCTTCAGGCGGCCCAGTGTTTCGTTAGTTCGAATCCTGGGGGCGGACATGGCACTGCTCATCAGACCACGCTGAGGCAGCGTCCCACATGCCACAACTAGAAGGACCCACAACGAAGAATATACAAAAAACAACTATGTACGGGGGGCTTTGGGGAGAAAAAGGAAAAAATAAAATCTTTAAAAAAAAAAAAAACGGGAGAACTATCTACAATCATTATGAGGAAACAGGTTCAGAAAAGTAACTTGCCCAAAGTTACAAAGCAGGAACCTGAATTTCCATCTCTTCACTCCAAAACCTGACTCCTATACAGATCTTTCTCACTTTACATTCCAATAAATCATATCGCATATCGTTAGCCAGGAAAAAGATGAAAATTCAAAATTTGAAATATGATTTCTACTGAATTTGTATTGCTTTCACATGATCATAAAGTCAAAAAATCATAAGATGAGTGATCCTAAGTCAGGACTCTATGTACTCCATAACTTAATCTTTATACCTCTTCTTTTTTTTCTTTCTTTTATCTTTTCTTTTTTTTTTGTTTGGTGAGGAAGATTGGCCCTGAGCTAACATCTGTTGCCAATATTCTTCTTTTTTTTTTTTTTCTCCCCAAAGCCCCAGTACATAGTTGTACGACGTAGCTGTTAAGTCCTTCTAGTTCCTCTATGTAGGATACTGCCACAGCCTGGCTCGATGAGCAGTGTGTAGGTCCCCGCCCAGGAGCCAAACCAGCGAACCCCAGGTTGTGGAAGTAGAGGGTGCAAACTTAACCACTATGCCACCTGGCCGGCCCCTATACCTCTTCTAAGTAGAACTACTGCCTGATACATAGTACACACACATAAATATACGCTGAAAGAATACCATAAGTTACATATTTAAATTATTAAACTCTATATAAAGGTACAGAAGGATAAAATTATTAGAGACTGAAGAATGCTATAGGGAGGATAATAAGACTAAGTGATCCTTGAAACTAAGAGAATAGCATGAGTAGGACTTGGAAGTAGAGAGTTATGGGGAAGAGTGCAAGAATAAAAGTGCCCTGGGAAAACACGTTGTATGGAATAGTTTCCATCTCATTACACGTTTTCTGTACCCTAGAGTTATTTCAACCAATCTGCTCAAATCCAATAACAAGGGTAGCTATACCATCAAATAGATGTAATTTCTTAAAGATACATAAATCAATAAAACCCCTTCTCCCTAGCAGAGAACCACCTGCAGGCTCAAAGTGGGTTTTCAAAAAATGACAGCAGATAAGGGACCAATAAGAAGCATTAAGGAGACGCACCCCCATCTGAATCTGAAATACTGATTCCAAAATTCTAGTGCTTCATGAGATTTAGCCAAACTGCTTCCACAGTAATTCTAAGAATAAAAAAGGTCACTGCTCACCCAGTTTAAGCAAGCAACATATGGTTCAACTACTATTTAAGTTGTTACCCTTCAAAATGAGGAACTGATTAAAATAATGGCTTATCTTCAATTACTTGAACTGAGGCTATGGAATTTATTACCACTAACTGCGAAGGAAGGACACAGTCTGGAAGCCAACAGCCACTTCTTAATCAAGACAGTTAGGAACAAAACGTCCCTAAAAGAATGCACAAGCAGGAAAGGTGACCCAATAACGAGATGTTATTTATTCCACAGGTAGCATTTTTGGTAGCATCCTTGAAAATCTCCAATTTGAGATATTATTTGTCATTTTCTTTCAGCATATCCATCATCCTGATCTATCTGAAGAACAATCACTGACGTGGTAATTTATAATCTTGACATTCTACCTACCAAACCTGTCAGAACTGCTTTGAAAGCTTGGGGGCATAGAGACCTTAATAATCCCTTATGAATGATCGATTCTTACCCCTAAACGAGTCAGTATTCAACAAATTTGGTACCAAGGTCTTTATCGCCTGATTACATGAGCTTCCTTGTTTCTCCATCTTAAAAAACGGTAAACGCACACCTACACACTCACCTACACACACACCCCCATGATGCTTTATTTCCCAGCCTCATTTAGGACAACTGTGTAACAGAATCCAAAGACACCCTTAGTAATTAAATTACAGTTGTATTGAGTCCTTGGACACTATTTCAGGCACCTCACACGCATTACAGAGGTCATTCCTCCCAATAACACTATGTGGTAGGTATCACTATTTTACAGTGTTTTTCACTATTTTTCTCACTATCCTGTGGTATGCACTGTTTTATCACTATTTTACATCTCAGAAAATGTATTCAAGTTTCCTGTTGGTAACTGGCTATGTTGGGAACCGAAGCTCCACATGTTCCAAAAAGACACGTCCTTCCACCCAATTCCAAGGCAGCGCCCCCCTGACAGGAGCAGACCCAGCGCGGAGAGCTCTCCGCTCCGGGCGTTACTCACGTGCGAGCGCGCTCCGCGGGCTGAGTCGGGCGCTCCGGCGCCGCTACAGCTCCTGCTCCTGGGGACCGAGGCGACAAAGGACCGGCTCAGAAGGTTGCCGTGACCGCCGAATGTGTGTGCAACGTCCGCCATCCGCTCCCCGCACGGCGGGGAGACACACCAGCTCTGCCGGAGGGGAAGTGAGGGATGGTGACAAGGGTTCTAAGGCAAACATCTGTTTCTGGGCAAATAACTAGAACGACCACTCCCCAACAAAACGGCGGCTGGCGGACGGACGGGGCGTGAGGGGCGGCGGGGCCCACGGCCTCCCTCCGACACAGGGCCCGGCCGTAGGCGCCGCGGGACGAGGCGCGGGGCCGGGGCGGCCTCCCAAGGCGTCCAGAAGGAGGAGGGCGCCCTCGAGGGGCGGGCGGGGCCCGGAGCCCTTCCGCGGGGAGCGAGAAGCACCAAGTGGACGCCCGGAGGATGCAGGCCGCACCCCGGGGGGGAGGGGGCGGTCCCGGGCTCCGAGGGGCTGGCCCCGCGTCGGGAGAGGCCCGCCTCAGCGTCGAGAGGGCCTCGTTCCGGCGGCAGAGGCGCCCCTCCGCACGAGGAGTGGGTCGCGGCCCCCGCAAGGAAGAGAAGGAGGCGGAAAGAGGAGGTGCGCGGAGGCGGGAGGTACTCACCGGCCGGCCCCCGCCGCTGCGCCGAACCCCGCTTCGGGGCGTTGGGGCCGTGCGCGGCCGCAGTACGTCAGGAGCGGGGGCGGAAGGGGCCGCGCGAACCTAGGGCACCGCGAGGAGGGGCCGCGCTCTCGGGCGGGCGCAGGCGCGAGCGTCCGGGGACGGAACCAACCCGCACGGCGGGGGGAGCCGCGCCGGGACGTACCAACGGCACGAGGTGGGGGCGCGCCATCACCCGGGGCGGATCCGACCTCTGAGAGTGGTCTGGGCCCTTCCCGGGGCTCTCGCAATTATCACTTTGCTAGCCCTTGGAGGGAAACCAAGGAGTAGCAACAGGGCCCCCAAAACACTACAGTGAACACTTCAAAGTCGTCTCTGCGACATCAAGCCTCCTCTGGCCCTTTCTTTGCAGGTATCTACTTATAATGAAATTATCTGTTCATACGACCACTTGAAAACTATCTCCGGATGGTAAATGTTAAAGTCTGATCATTTCGGGGAAGGGAGGGAATCTGGGAAATGGAAACTCTTAGAGCTAACAGGTGGAAGTGTAAAATTAGAACATCCACTTTTGGTGAGATTTTAAATGCATTTTATGACCCAGCAATTTCATGTCAAGAAAAATACTGAAGGAAACTCTTACAGGAGTGCACAAGAAGACATGTACATGTCCAAGCCTGCTTCCTTGCAAAAAATGTAAAGAATGCCTGAATAGACCAATCACAAGTAAAGACATTGAAACAGTAATCAAAAACCTCCCAAAAAATAAAAGTCCAGGACCAGACAGCTTCCCTAGAGAATTCTACCAACATTCAAAGAAGATTTATTACCTATCCTTTTCAGTTTGAGAAGGATATTCCAAAAAATTGAGGAAGATGGAAAAATTCCTAAGACATTCTACAAGGCCAGCATCATCCTGATACCAAAGCCAGACAAGGACAACACGAGGGAAAATTACATGCCAATATCGCTGAAGAACATAGATGCAAAAATCCTCAACAAAATACTGGCAAATCAAATACAGCAATATACTAAAAGGATCGGGGGCTGGCTTCGTGGCCGAATGGTTAAGTTCGCACACTCCACTTCAGTGGCCCAGGGTTTCACTGGTTCAGATCCTGGGCACGGACATGTTACTGTTCATCAAGCCATGCTGAGGCAGCATCCCACATAGCACAATCAGAAGGACCTACAACTAGAATATACAACTATGTACTGGGGGACTTTGGGGAGAAGAAGAAGAGGCAGAGGAAGAGGAAGAAGAAGAAAGAAGATTGGCAACAGATGTTAGCTCAGGTGCCAATCTTAAATAAATAAATAAAAAGGATCATACACCATGATCAAGTGGGATTGATACCAGGGACATAGGGATTGTTCAACATCTGCAAATCAACTAATGCGATATACTACATTAACAAAATGAGGGGAAAAAACAACATGATAATCTCAATAGATGCAGAGAAAATATTTGATAAGATCCAACATCCATTCATGATAAAAACTCTCAGTAAAATGGGTATAGAAGGAAAGTACTTCAACATAATAAAGGCCATATATGACAAACCCACAGCCAACATCATACTCAATGAGGAAAAACTGAAAGCCATCCCTCTGAGAACAGGAAGAAGACAAGGGTGCCCACTCTCACCACTCTTATTAAACATAGTACTGGAGGTTTTGACCAGAGCAATGAGGCAAGAAAAAGAAAAATAATTTGGATAGGCAGTGAAGAAGTGAAACTCTTGCTGTTTGCAGATGACATGACTTTATATATAGAAAACCCTAAAGAATCCATCAGAAAACTATTAGAAATAATCAACAACCACAGCAAAGTTGCAGGATACATAATCAACTTACAAAAATCAGTGGCACTTATATACTCCAATAATGTACTAACAGAACGAGAACTCAAGAATACAATACCATTTTCAATCACAACAAAAAGAATAAAATATCTAGGAATAAATTTAACCAAAGATGTGAAAGAGCTATACAAGGAAAACTATAAGATATTACTGAAAGAAATCAATAATGACCTAAAGAAATGGAAAGATGGGGCTGGCCCTGTGGCGGAGTGGTTAAGTTCCGGCATTCTACTTTGGCCCAGGGTTTCCCAGGTTCGGATCTTGGGCACGGCCATGGCACCACTCATTAGGCCACACTGAGATGGCGTCCCACATGCCACAACTAGACAGACCCACAACTAAAATATACAACTATATACCAGGGGAATTTGGGGAGAAAAAGCAGAAAAAAAAAGAAATGGAAAGATATTCCATGCATGTGGATTGGAAGAATAAACATAGTTAAAATGTCCATATTGCCTAAAGCTATCTACAGATTCAATGCAATCCCAGTCAGAATCCCAATGATGTTCTTCACAGAAATAAAACAAAGAACCTTAAAATTTATATGAGGCAAGAAAAGACCCTGAATAGCCAAAGCAATCCTGAAAAACAAGAACAAAGCTGGTGGCATCTCAATCCTAGACTTCCAAATATATTACAAAGCTATAGTAATCAAAACAGCATGGTACTGGTACAAAAACAGGCATACAGGTCAATGGAACAGAATTGAAAGCCCAGAAATAAAACCACACATCTATGGACAGCTAATCTTCAAAAAAGGAGCCAAGAACATACAAAGGAGAAAGGAAAGCCCCTTCAATAAATGGTGCTGGGAAAACTGGACAGCCACATGCAAAAGAATGAAAGTAGACCACTATCTTTCTCCATACACGAAAATAGACTCAAGATGGACCAAAGAATTGAAGGTAAGACCTGAAACCATAAAACTTCTGGAAGAAAATATAGGCAGTACACTCTTTGACATCAGCCTTAAAAGGATCTTTTCAAATACACTGTCTACTCGGACAAGGGAAACAAAAGAAAAAATAAACAAGTGGAACTTGATCAGACTAAAGACCTTCTGGAAGGCAAAGGAAACCAAGATCAAAACCAAAAAAACAACCCACCAACTTGGAGAAAATATTTGCAAATCATATATCCAACAAGGGGTTAATCTCCATAATAAAGAACTCATACAACTGAACTACAAAAAAAAAAAAAACCAATCAAAAAGTGGGCAGAGGATATTAACAGACATTTTTCCAAAGAAGATATACAGATGGCCAACAGGCATATGAAAAGATGCTCAACATCAATAATCATCAGGGAAATGCAAATCAAAACTACACTTAAATATCACCCTATACCCATTAGAATGGCTATAATCACCAAGACAAAAATAACAAATGTTGGAGAGGATGTGGAGAAAAGACAACCCTCATACACTGCTGGTGGGAATGCAAACTGGTGCAGCCACTATGGAAAACAGTATGGAAATTCCTCAAAAAATTAAAAATAGAAATTCCATATGATCCAGCCATCCTCCTACTGAGTATTTATCCAAAGAACTTGAAATCAACAATTCAAAGAGACTTACACACCCCTATGTTCCTTGCAACATTATTCACAATAGCCAAGATGTGGATGCAACCCAGGTGCCCATCGACTGATAACTGGATAAAGATGTGGCATATATATATATAAGGGAATACTACTCAGCCATAAAAAGACAAAATTGTCCCATTCGCAACCACATGGATGGACCTTGAGGGTATTATGTTAAGTGAAATAAGCCAGACAGAGAAAGACAAACACCATATGATTTCACTTATTTGTGGAACATAAACTTATGGACAAAGAGAACAGTTTAGTGGTTACCAGGGGGAAGTGGGGTGGGAGGTGGGAACAAGGGGTTAAGGGGCAGACTTATATGGTGTCTGACAAATAATAATGTACAACTGAAATTTCACAATGTTACAAACTATTATTATGACCACAATAAAAAAATAGATTAAAAAAAGAAGTTTTTAAATGTTTAGAATCTAAAATAAATGTAAAGATTGGAAATGTCCAATAAGACATGGATGAATAAAACATGATACATTCCTACAATAAAATATTATAACAAATAAAACCCATAAATGAGTCCTATACGTATGAACATTTGATAGCTCATAAGTTACTGAAATAGCAACTGTCAACAAATATGTACACTGTGAAATTTAAATTTAAAAATACATAGAATGTCAGTATATATTGATTATGGAAAATATGTATGTGTAGGGAGCCAGCCCAGTGGCATAGCAGTTAAGTTCACACACTCTGCTTTGGCAGCCCAGGGTTCAGTGGTTTGGATCCCAGGTGCAGATCTACGCACGACTTATCAAGCCATGCTGTGGCAGGCGTCCCACATATAAAATAGAGGAAGATGGGCACAGGTGTTAGCTCAGGGCCAACCTTCCTCAGCAAAAAGAGGAGGATGGTGGCAGATGTTAGATCAGGGTTAATCTTCCTCAAAAAAAAAAAGAAAGAAAAAAGAAACTATATATATGTAAAGTATAGAAAATGAACTAGATGGATACACATCATGATAATGTTTTGAGTGCAGGAGACGGGGAGGGGTAGAAGCCAGGATGGGTGGGCAGGGGGGGATAAACAGGACTTTAGGGGCCAGCCCAGTGGCACAGTGGTTAAGTTTGCACATTCCGCTTCAGCAGCCCAGGGTTCGCTGTTCGGATCCTGGGTGCAGACATGGCACCGCTTGGCAAAAGCCATGCTGTGGTAGGTGTCCCACATATAAAGTAGAGGCAGGGGGGCTGGCCCCGTGGCTGAGTGGTTAAGTTCACGCGCTCCGCTGCAGGCGGCCCAGTGTTTCGTTGGTTCGAGTCCTGGGCACGGACATGGCACTGCTCATCAAACCACGCTGAGGCAGCGTCCCACATGCCACAACTAAAAGGACCCACAACGAAGAATATACAACTATGTACCGGGGGGCTTTGGGGAGAAAAAAGAAAAAAATAAAATCTTTAAAAATATATATATAAACAAATAAATAAAATAAAAAATAAAGTAGAGGCAGATGGGCATGGATGTTAGCTCAGGGCC